GTTTGATTGCAATACTGTTTCTTGCAGGGATGTAGCTCAGTGGCACAGTGCCTGGCTGGCAAGCGCAAGATGCCAAGTTTGATTCCTGGTGCAAAAAATACACAAATATTTTTTCTTTAGAGTGTGTAACTATTCTTACAACTACTTGTACAACCCAGAATTCCTTTCAGAAAGGCAGAATTTGATCATAGCACCTCCCTCTTTTGCTTCTGTCACCTGGATTTCTTTCTTTCTTCTTAACCTGCCCCCAACCCAAATAGCTGCTTTCAGTAAAACCAGAGCTACATGGTCATAGCCCAGCATGCACTCTGCCCATCCCTGCTGTCATTAGCTTCCTTGTGTGCCTGGTACGGTGTCGCCTCCATGCTGGAGAAACAGTGGAAGCAGGACAGAGGTTGTTAGCAATGCAAGTGTGGTAAGCTCAGGAAAGAGACTCAAACTTACCCTTATCCTCATAAGGTCTCAGCAGCCCTGGGAAATCAGAGTCTCCAAAGCTCAGATTTTACCCATCCAAACCGAACAAGTTGATAACACATGTCACAAAGGAGAGGAAGTGTTTTTTTAAGCCTTGTGCATTCTTTTTCCAATGATTCATCCTGTAGTTGAGAATTGTGTTTATACTTATGCGTCTGGAATGTCAGAAACTGGCTTTCTAATTCAGTAATGAAAAAGCTGTGGAAAAAGTCGGGGTGGCGGTTGCATAGCATGGTGAAAGGAATTAACAGCACTAGATTGCACAGCTAAACATGGGGGAAGTGGTAAATATGCGCATGTTTGTGTGGGTATCTTACCAGAATAACAAATTTAAATATGGAAAGTGGAAGTAAAGAAATTTTTCTAGAAGAGATATTTTGTGACTTTATTTAGCATGTTGCCTTGACATTTTTTTTCAAAAGCCCTCTAGTTTTATTTTTTTAATTAGTCTAAAAATCTCAGATTCTGAATCCTACTTTATCTATGCACAGGAGGAGAAAGTAAGCAATGTCAAATCGATCACTTGTACAATCCATAATTCATTTCAACTCCTTCTTTTCTCCTGTCACCTGAATTTCTTTGTGCATAACCTGTCCCTGCCCCACAAAATAGCCACTTTCAGTAGAACTAAGAACAATAAGCAGTGGTCCAGTACCATATGTCTGATTTATTTTTCTGCAATTGTTTTTGTGCTGTTGTTTAAAAGACTTCACCTAAATCATATAGCAGGCACAGCGATCTGTTGTCTGGCCAAGCCCACTTTCCATACTTGGTGAAATAAGCGATGCCCTCCAGAATCCGCAGTGGAGTCGGTAAAACCATAAGGCGGCCCTACAGCTTCCCAATTCCCAACACTCTTCCCACCAGTTCCTGCTGTTTTCCCTGAGGCCGACTCCGGGCTTTGAAGGGCATCAGATCATCCAAGCCACCAACACTGACCCTCAGGATACAAATGAGAAGTTTTGTCCTTATAAATTACTCTTTATAAAACTTCAGTCGCCCTCTAGACAAGCTTGATTTCCCCCACTAAGCAGGTACTCGGATATGTGTCCTCCTTTAAGCAAATCACCAAGGTCTTGAGAAGTGTCCGTATGTACCTTCCTGCATTGCAAGACAAAGGAGAAATGCACACATCCAGGCTTACTTTTATTTATTCTTTCATGGTTTTAGAAGGAAAATAAGAAATATTCATCCCAACGATCAGGATTTACATTTATATGCAACTGCTTCATTGAGCAAAGGGATTTGACTTAAGCATGGATTTCCCACTGATCCAGCAGTTGCAACCACTGATGCAATCTGAGATTTGCTCTGTGCAGCCCTGCAGTTTGCCAGCCACATGCTTGCTCCCTTTTTCTGCTGCGTTTGCCGTTTTTCTTTCCCCTCTCCAGCCTACTGTGTTCCCAGGTCTGTTCCTGGATGGCAACCTACAACCCACAGAGCCGCACAAGAGTGCTAAGCTTGGTGCTGTCGTGATGCAGATGCATGAAGGCAGCTGTGGTAGGACCTGCAGTGGAACACTGAGCACCTGGAGCGCAGGCTCATGCTCAGTCTTCTCCGTCTTCCTGCTCTGAAGTAGCGCACCTCCCCCCCCCCCAGCTGTGTGCATGTCTGGAAGGAAAGCAAATTAAAAACTTTGCTTTGGAGGACATGTTAGAAGATTAGTGTAATGAGCACCAGTGGCCGCAAGCCACAAATGTCACATGTTCCTTCTAGGATTCTGTGGGTTTCAGCCAGAGACTTCTGGCATCTACTACCTGAAGCCCTCCCTGAAGAAATAAGAATACTTGAATTTGATTCATTTGGGAGAAAAACTATTTTGTATAAAGACAGTGGAATTTTGTCTCCTCCGTGTTTGATATTATACTATAGGCAGCATTCTGGAGAAGAAGGTAAAACAAGTCAGAATCCTACCTATCTAAAATACTGCTCAATAGTTTACAGTTAATCGTAGGAAATAATCAGATGTCTCACTTGCTGTACAAGAATTGTGATTCTGTATCATTTACCAGAAAGCTGGGAAATTGAACAGATAAAGTGAAGACTAAAGTGTATATCAATGAGAGTCCCTGTTCTCAACAGTCATAATAACACCTACCTGGGTGACCTGGGACCCTCAGAGCCATGGATCCAAGACTTTTTCTAGCAATGGGCTGAATCTAAACTTCTGTTCCAGAATGGATTGTGGCTCCCAGGTGTTCCCTCATGTGATTGGGAACTAGTAAGAAAATCTACCCATTTCTTTCCTCTAAAAGGAAGTCAGAGAAGCCTAAATAGAACTTAGGTGCAATTACTGAGGACATTGCAAGGGGAAGTAATATGTAGGGTGACACAAGAGACAGATTCATCTTTCATCCCTTCATGTTTTTCCCTGAACAAGAAGATAAAGAATAGTACATTAATGAAATGCCTGGTGCACTGAGTTTGTGTCTCTTTAACTCCTAAGTGAAGTCATTATTCTCTCATTATTTGTGAAAAGTGGGGACACTGATCCCTTTGTTAAACTTCCCATTTTCTGAGGCTTGGGGCTCTCTAAAAACGAAACTGTCTATAAATATGCTCATTTGAAAATATTAGTTCTGATTGCTAGATAATAAAAATAGAAATGCTATGCCTTTTTTTTGGACATGCTTTATTTTAAATTCAGAGCCTGTGTCTGTTTCCCATTAAGTGAGTTCACAGATCCACCTCATGGAGAGTGGCCATTCTCCCTGGTGGTTTGCGTGTCTTTAACAGCTCTTCATGCCTAAAACCTATTTGACTCCTATGGGGCCATGGGGAATCCTTACATCACTTCTCATTTTCAAATCTTGCATGTCCTCAAAAGACCTTGAAAAGCTCAAAATCACGGTGTGCTGAGCAGAGGAAACCCCAGAGGCAGCCGGGATCTGAGGCCAGGGCAGAGCTGCTGCTGACTTAGCACGCCTGGAGGACTGTGGTGCTCCTGGGAAGGCGGGGAAGGCTGGCAGAAGGGAAGGAGGCAAATCAAAGGGCAAGGAAAGCAGGAGGTGATGCAGTGAGACAGACAGCACAGAGAGGGCTCCGGGGTCTTTAAAGGCAGAAAGGAATCAAGGACTTAGCTGGCTAATCAGGAAGTGTGGCTATGGGCTCACTTTTAACATTTGGAAGAACGTATTGCAATATCTTCTGGAATTTGTTAATAGTATTGATATAAAATACCTTTCTGATGTTTTGCCCTTGTAGGAAAATGAAAGACATATCACTGCTTGAAACACTCAGATTAGCAGGCTGCAGGTGGGTGTGTATTCGCATAGATGCCTCAAACACAAGGACACGCTCCATTCTTTGGCCAGAACAATGTGATGGAAGAGATTCATGTTGTTTCGTACTTGTTCTGTATTATAATACAAACCTATTGCTTAAAAATTCTAGCTGGACTTACCTTGGAAGTTTTGCGTTTAAGTTCTGTCCACTATCCAGCTTTCTCTTTAATTTTGATATTTAGACAAAGAAAAATGAAACTAGAAAAATGAATGAAATATATTATGAAATCGTGGAACTTCAGATAGCTATCAGTCTTGAATACAGTATATCTTCTGGAGCATAAAGCAAATCCTTCCTTCTCTACATGTTTGAACAGCTAGGATTGCCTTAGAGATACCTTATAGGTTCAGAGGCACTGTTCTTTCTGACCCAAAAGATACTTATGGAGGAGAAAATAACCCAACCTACTTTTTTGTTAGATATACTACGTATTTGTGTATTTCATTGTATGAGAAAGATCCAAAAACATGTCACTGGTTCTTTTCTCTTTTTTCCTTTCTCATTTTTTTTTTATTTTAAAGAGATTAAGACAAAACAGGACATAACAAAGCAGATCAGAACAAAACAATGTAAGCAACACAGTATTTCACCAGAAGACAACCCGTAATTAACAGTAACTACCACGTCTCTTTCTTTGAAATAGTTGAGTATAACTTCATATATAGTAGTATCAAACGTAACAAAATAGTATGAAAACACTCAAGAGAATGAGAGTATTACAGGGCATTCAGAACCAAATAACAGAAAACAAACAATGGCTACTATAATATCTCATTTTCCATAGAAAATTTGTTTATACTTTCACAGGTAATACTGTCCAGTAAGGTACAGCATGATAGAGCCAATAGAAACAGAAGAGCAAAAAGCATGGTAGGACTTCAGAGTAAGATAATATTATATCTGTACTGGCTATAATAATGATTTGTTTTTGTCAAATTAGCTGTTCATGCCATCACAGATAATGAAATCAAAGAAACAGGACAAGCCCATTCCAACTAATGAATGTGATCATTATGAGTCTTCAAAACAATGTAATGGGGAATCATGATTACTATAAACTCTTATGTACTCTTACTATTTTTTATACTAGGGAGACTATACGGTATTTATACATATGAGTTTGATTTATTTCGCTTATGAGTATGGTCTCAAGTAGTGCCCATTTATTAGTAAATATGGAGTACTACCCAACTATAAAGAATGATCACATAGAGATATTTCCTTTCTCATTTTAATCACAGCAGAAAATGGCCCCCGTCTACTTGTGCAAGCGGAACAAGCCAAGGTGTTCTCCCACAGAGGTGGCAATGTCACACTGCCCTGTAAATTTTATCGAAACCCTTCAGCATTTGCCTCGGGACTCCACAAGATCCGAATCAAGTGGACCAAGCTAACCTCAGATTACCTCAAAGAAGTGGATGTCTTTGTGTCCATGGGCTACCATAAGAAAACCTACGGAGGCTACCAGGGCAGAGTGTTCCTGAAAGGAGGCAGTGACAATGACGCTTCTCTAGTCATCACGGACCTCAGCCTGGAGGATTACGGAAGATACAAGTGTGAGGTGATTGAAGGCTTAGAAGATGACACAGCTGTGGTAGCATTAGACTTGCAAGGTGGGTATCTATACAAAAGCCTAAATAGGAAAATGGTAATTAATCATGGCTCTTTTTTATCACCACAGGTAATGTGTAGTGGTTACCATAGTAATAATGTGAAACTCAAAAGCCTATGCCCAGGGTCCCTTTCTGTTATTTTGTACCTAGCAGTCTGCCTGTGATTTCAACTTTCATGTTTGCTTTTGTGCACAGTGGAAGCTGTTTGCACCTGAGGGCAACATGCAGTGGAAGTGAGTTAATAATTTTTAGAAATCGCCTTGTGCTAAGCCAAGTTCACTGCCAACAGATAGTTAGGGAGAAAATTCACATCAGATTCTTTTTTTATTATCCTTCTAAAATTATGTCAGTTTCAAAATAATGGCAGGTTTTATAAAGAACATCTGTACTAAAATGCAGGGAATTGTATTCTATAAAATGACTGTAAAAACTTATTTAAGAAAAAAGTCACCTCTGAGTTTGTTTAAATGCTTCTGTCAAGAAGTACTTGTTTAATGACCCAGGGTCTCTTAGACACTGAATACAAAATGATCAAGGGGTGTTTTGGGAATGGGGAGGGCCCTGTGTCCCGTGTCATACATTCAGTTGTTTCAAAAACCAAAATGCATGTAAATCTCTACAAGGCAAGGCATCCTGTCTATGTTTGCTTCCCTGCTGGCCAGCAGCCATTCATTTTCGGAGTATCTCATCTGATTTTTCATGGATTTCTGCAATACTTTACCTTGAGCAATGCATTTTGACGACATGACCACAGTACTTTCCTTCCATAGAATGACAGTGTGTATTTACCAGATGCTCACTTCATTTCCTAGTGCAGATTTGTGGCTTTCAAAAGACAACAGTGCCAGTTGGTCCACTAGCGTATCACTAGACAGCTGACCTTCTAAAGGCGCACAAGTCCATCACAAAGGTGGACACTTACAAGCTTCATATATCTAATGACTCGCACCGTCCTATATAGTACCTACGGGGACACTTTGCTGGCTTCTCTTTGTGGCCGTTCTTGACTCCTGATAGCCTGCCACTTTAGCTTCTAGGTCTTATTTAATCACTGTAATATCCATGAACATTTTTCAGGCTTGAAGGAGTAACTGGCTTAGAGAATGAGTCACCAAATATTAACCACGTTCCCTTGTCCAAGGAACAGTGAGAGGCTAATAGCTGATAAGCATATATTTTGCCTTATGTGGCTGACCATAAGCTTTCCAACCTTTGTGCACATCATTTCTGTACCACAGTTACCTATCCCAGACTATGTGGAAATCATCCTTAGGTTATTGGCTAGATTCTTCAGGTTCTATCCTGATGGCTTTATTGTATTCTGTGGTTATCTTTATAATTTTTTGTAATTTCATTTTCAAATACAAAATCCTTATCTTGTGTGGCATGAAGTCTTGGCTATGGTAAAACCTTCTAATCATTACCAATTAATTCTATTACTAGAAAAGCATGCAACAAGAAATAAGCATTCTATAAATATAACATAGGTAGTGTTACTAGAAATTAAGTAAGTAGCTTCACAGAATTCATTGCAGCAATCAACAAATATACAAAAAGGACATTAAAAATTATACGTGTTCTCACAATCTTCTTCCATCAATGGATGAAAGTGAGGCCAGATACATAAAAATATATTCTCAGAAACAGAAAAATAATTTCAGATATGTTCATACTACTAATAGACACCAGAAGAGGCAACAAGGAAAATAAAATTGTTTTGTCTACATGGTCTTTGCCTTATTACTAGAAATATGGACTTTACCAAGTTACTGATATTTTCATGTAGACCAGAATATTAAAACTATTTATATATCTAACAAATTATTATTTACCAACAAATAGGATGAATTGAGCTGTGTGATTATAAATCTTAAAAAGTGTTCCCTCAAAATATACTTCCACAGACTAATCCCTTCATATTGTTTTATATTGCTGTTTTCCATGGGATGTATCATTCTTATTAATCTCATTTGTAGTGATACAAAGTAGCCCTTCCTGGAAAAGATAAGGGCTTTTGATTATCATTTGATATATAAGCATAAAGGATAAATGAATTAGATATAACCATAAACTCCCGTTTCCTATCCTTAAGATCAACTCTTCTTATGTTTGCAGTTCTGGTGAAAGCAACACTTTGCTCCACAACTCAGCTATAGGAATTGCAAGCTTTTGCATAAGCAAAGGAGTCTGCAGTTAGGTGTTGGATTCTTAAACTGAAAGTGAGATAAGCATGTAAATTACTCACCATCATGTAGTTCCAGAAACATCTTTGCTTGAGAAACAGCTGAGGGTTGGACTGTACCTGCTAAATGTATAGAATGCAGTGAAACTCTTGGAACTTTGGGCACTGAAGTTGGCCTTGATTTACCTGGAATATGTTCTTTCCAGCATCATCCAACATTTCTTAAAATGTGTTGAGTAAATATTTTAAGTTCGTACAATCAGTAAGTGAGTATTTAGTCTCATAGTTGAAAAACATTGACATTTTAACCTCAAATTTCCCTCTAGCTTTAGGAATTGATTGCATGAAATTATGTTAAATTTGAAGGCAACTAAAATAAAAATATATTACACTAGATTGAGAACTAAACTAATCATGTGTTAGTGACACATAATGGGCAATCAGGGAAAATTACTAAAGAAATTATTTTCCTAATGCTCATGAGAGTTTCCTATGATACATGATAGTGAATTTAAACCTAAATGGTTTTCCAGGTGTTTGAAATTACTAAAATATCCTGTATTTTCCCATGCCACCATCCTGAGACATTTGGGAAAGGGAAGCCGAGCCAATTAGAAGATGTTATAGAAATATGCAGTAAATGTTTACATTTTTAACATATTCCAATAAAAGACATAGTGCCATCAGTCTCCCTCAGAACACTCTCCCCTGCTCTCTGCTTTGAACGGACTCATCCATTTTTCTTGCCACTTTCTGAAGCTGCTCTGGAATTACTCCTTCATACATGTCTTTAAAAGTTGTGAAAAAACACAGCGAATGCTACTGCTGAGCACCTCTCAACAGAAGGCAGGCTCTCAAAAATATGCATCCTCACTCACCTTATCCACCACCTCTGGCACCATGTACCTTCTGGATCCCCCCGTTCCCCACCCCCCCGAGTCAAAGTGACCATGAAAGCAAAATGTTTTGAATGGATTCAGAGCTCCTTGGCAGCCAGGAAAGTACATGTGAAGACACTGACGAAAGAGGTCTTCCAGAACTGCTACAGTTAGTGACCAGAACTGTGGGATGAGCTGTGTTCAAAGCTCCAAGCAAGGGAGAATATTAGGGGGGAGTTCATGCCAAAGCATCTTTTACCGTAACTTTTAAAAAAATATTTAAACATTCACTGTGTGTTTTGATCATGCCTTAGAGCTTCTTTCCCCCATTCTCAGGCTGAGATTCATTGAGATTTTCTTCTGTCACTTGAGTTGTAGCTGCCAAGAGACCCTCTCCTGGGTGAGCTCAATGTCCACCTTTCCTGGGCATTCCAGGGGTGCCAAGGAAAGGGGACAAAGCCCCTTGGGAGCAGGAAGCACCAGAGTGGCTCCTTCCCAGGACCTGCTGAGCTCCTAGCTGAGGCTACTGCAGACACCTGCTCAGACATTGCTCCAGGCTCTTTCTCCTACTCAGCACAGCAGGAGTCAGCAGCAGCCCGGGGAGCCCATCCCTTTCCCTCTGGCTGCGCTCCAGCCTACAGATCCCTCAGCCAAGAGCCTGAGCCGGCAGAATGAGACCAGGAAGCTGTCTTGGAGCACTGCCTTAGGGACGGTGCCAGCTGGACCGCACTGAGGACAGCCGTGGCTTCCAGAGACCTTTGGTGCATGAGACTGATTCGGACTGGAAATTTCTTTTTGTAGAGTCTCCCAGGACAATTTACAAGAGGAAATATTCCCCATGTACTGCTGATGCAGCTATGTATCTTGCCTAAGGTCTGCAGACTGGTCATGTGAGGTTGGAGCCCTCCAATTACTGGGTCAGTGGGACAAGCCTGTGCCTTCCACATGTTGGAACCTTAGTTACTCTCAGTCACATTGTAAAACACAGTCACTGCAAATTAATTACCTGTTACTGATCATAAGGATGCTGCTCTGACATGCGTTTTTATGTCCTGTGGTAGAATTGAACATCCCTAAGCCCATTTTTTGTTTTACACTGAGACAAGGTCTGGCTAAATCATAAGTTCCCTGGACTGGGCTTGAACTTGAGATCCTCTCACCTCGGCCTTGAATGAAAGAAATGTGGGACAGTGGTCATTCTGTATGTCCAATAAATGAAATAGGGTTACTTCCCTAATCCAGTTATTTTCACCTTAAGAAATTGCTGGGGCCAGGGATCTAGCTCAGCAGCATGGTGCCTGCCTAGCAAGGGCAACGTTTTGAATTCAATTCCTGGTACCAAAAAAAAAGGAAGAAAGGAAGGAAGGAAGGAAGGAAGGAAGGAAGGAAGGAAGGAAGGAAGAAAGAAAGTAAGTTAGTTGTGCAGGGTCCTGTGAGACAGCTTACTCAATAAAAAGGAAAATGGTTTCTGAAAATTCCTGCCCTTTTCCAGGCAAAGTCAAAGGCCGAGTCATGCACTGACATCCACTAAGGGATTTTGTTCTCTCAAATATTCCACTTCAGCGGTAATGAGTGAGCTCACTGGTGCCTTTTCTGTACCAGCCTTGTATAAGTTCAGGGGAGTGTTTCATTTTTTTTACCTGTTTGTAGTGAAAAATATTTTAAAGCTTAGGTTTCCACTTGCAGTATTTAAAATGGAAGCTGAAAAACAGCAATGAGATATTTTTCAGTGAAAGCCCTTATTTTAGTTGTATGAGTAAAGCAAGAAGATTAAAGGCTGCACTAGACATTGAGAGAAATAAGAAAGCCACCATGCTTGGGGGGGGGTAGCTCACTACTGAACTGTCATATGAACTGTTTAATCAGGTTTGTTAGATATGCAAATTAACTTTAGTCTCTCCTAGTAAGAAGCTTCTCTGTGATAATAACCTATCTAAGCAGCAATGCAGATGAATGTATACATGGTTTTCAATACTTAGAGTTTCTTTATACACCCCAGAGACTAGATAAAACCACTCATTCTGTAATAACTTCTAAGGAAAACACTGTGACTTTTGACAGATCCGCTCTCCCTGGGCCCTGAACACCCTGCCCTGCTTAGTACCTGATACTTTCTTCCCCAGGTGCAGGGCCCTGGGATTGAGCTGCTCCTGGGGTCAGCAAGCAGGTGCAGAAGCTGCATTCACAGGCTGGGAGCCCTCCTGCTGCTCAGTACTTCCAGAAAGGAGATTTTAAGGCGTGGGTTTAGCAAAGTAGACAGCTCTTGCAGACATCAGAGCCAAGAGCTGACTGGGACTCTTGGCCTCAGAGGTTCTTAGAAGGACAAAGGGCTCTGAAAGGCCACCCTGGGGTGCCACCCTGGGGCAGCAGCAGTCAGCAAGGTTTGCAGAGTGTGGCTCCTGTCTGCCTGCCCCTGCTGACACCTCACCTTGCCTCTGGACAGGTGTGGTCTTCCCTTACTCCCCGAGGTTGGGGCGCTACAACCTGAACTTCCACGAGGCGCAGCAGGCCTGCCTGGAACAGGACGCAATGATCGCCTCCTTCGACCAGCTCTACGAGGCCTGGCGCAGCGGGCTGGACTGGTGCAATGCTGGCTGGCTGAGCGACGGCTCGGTGCAGTACCCCATCACCCGGCCCCGGGAGCCCTGCGGAGGCCAGAACACAGTGCCTGGCGTCCGGAACTATGGCTTCTGGGACAAGGAGAAGAGCAGATACGACGTATTCTGCTTCACCTCCAACTTCAACGGTAAGACGGATCTGCGGCCTGTCCTGCACTTGGCTGTGACACTTATCTCCTTAAAAGCCAAAGCTTTGAAAAGTCACACAACATTCTTGCATGTCACAGTGTTAGGGCAAACCACGTTAGGTATAAGGAAAAAGTATGTGTTTCCAATACTTAGTGCATCCAAACTTTATTATGAAATCACTGAAACTGTCACATGCTCTCTGGGCTGCTGGTGGTAGGGTTTTCAGTTTTTGATTTGTTTTCATTTTTTGTTCTTTGAGACAGAATCTTGCTAAGTCACTAAATTGTCCAGGCTGGGCTTGAACTTGTGATTCTCCTACTGCAACCTCCCAGAGTGCTAGAATCACAGGTGCACACCACCACGCCAGGCAGAGCCAGCTACCTTATTTATGGGACCCCATGCCACATGAAAACATAGGTTATAAATTTTAGAGGATAATGGAGAGCATGGAACGAAGCATGAGGGTCTGCATAGGCCTCAAACTCAGGAAGCAGGACCTGGCCCTCAACAGTTGGGTTTTATACTAACTGTTCCTTCCCCAAAATACCTTTCCCTCACTCACCTTTCAGCTCAGGTTCTGAGATTAACTCCCTCAAACTGAAGTGAGTATTGCTCTTGAGCTGGTATCTTAACCAATACCTACTTCTCTTACAACACTTTTAATTGCTGACCTCGCCTGCTCCTGATTTCAGGAGCCAGGTGACATGCATTTGGGGAAACAGAAAGGAACCAGAGGTCAGCGAATCTCTAGAAAGAGCCAGGTGGTGAATATTTCTGGCTCTGCTCCTTCTGTGTTCTGCAGCCTCCCAAAGCTCTGCATGGTGCAGCATGAAAGCAGACATGTGCGGACTGCCCTTCTCACGGGCGAATCTGGGCAGGTCTGGCATGTAGATGAGGGAATTCCCTTGAGTTCTTTTTCCCATTCACATCATCTGAATCTAGAGAGAACCAGGAAGTTACAAATTTATATTTTACTAACACCACATCCCCAGTGTGTAATCAGGTAAGAGAATCTGGGTGCATCCCAGCTGAAATTCAGAAAACCTCCAGTCGACATTATCACTGCATTTTGTACATATCTCATACCTATTAACAGGATCTCAGTAATTGATGCTGTGCAATAAATGGTGAAGCCTAACTGGGTTTGTGTGTGTGTGTGTGTGTGTGTGTGTGTGTGTGTGTGTGAAATCACGACATGGCAAGGTGTCAGGGATCAGAGGATGGGCGTTCAAAATAATCCACAAATCCATCTTCTTTGGAAGAGAGCAAAGATGGACTGGGTTTCCATTCTGTGCCCGTGGCAGGTGACTTCCTACATTTTATGTATTTTCATACTGTAGCCTTTGAATGAGAATAATGTCTTATTGATACCTGGAATGAAAAGGACTTGAAAGCTTTTGATTTTTTTTAAATGGACTTTTATGTCAGAAATGGTTGTGGGTTTTTTTTTTTTTTTCCCTTTCACATTCAAATTTTGCCTCTCCAGACCCTTGTGCTGGGCTGCAGCCTTGCTTCAGCTAGAATTTCAATAGCCCTTGCTTTGAACATGGCATTCTGTCTCCTCCGGGACCACAGAAGGGTGTTTCTTCATGGCTAATTAGCCAGCAGAAATCGCATCTCTCCTTTGCTTTTGGCTGCTAACGCTGCGAAAGGGCATGTGTGAACACACACTAAGGGAAGAGTCACCCAAAAGGAATTTCATGGAGAGAACCCAGGGGGTGGCCGGGGGTGACAGTCCCAGCTTCCCAAAGCCTGCTTCTCAGCCCTCCTCTGTCCGGCTCTCTGCCTTGTGAGCCGCTTCCTGTTCTGCTCCTTCTGTGTGATTCTCACAGGGGTGTTCTCCCCGTCTCCCACCTGCAGGCCGGTTTTACTACCTGATCTACCCCACCAAGCTCACCTATGACGAAGCGGTGCAAGCCTGTCTCAACGACGGTGCTCAGATCGCCAAAGTGGGCCAGATCTTTGCAGCCTGGAAGCTCCTGGGCTACGACCGCTGCGACGCGGGCTGGCTGGCTGATGGCAGCGTGCGCTACCCCATCTCCAGGCCCCGGCGGCGATGCAGCCCCACCGAGGCGGCCGTGCGCTTCGTGGGCTTCCCTGATAAAAAGCACAAGCTGTACGGCGTCTACTGCTTCCGAGCATACAACTGAGAGGCCAGGGCATTGCTCCCAGCGTCACCGAGAACATGTGAAAGGTGTTTTCTTTGGTTTTGTTTTGTTTTGTTTCAATACGAACTCATGCAAGTTACCAAAACTGTGATAACCCTTTTTTACTGTAAAGAGTCATTTTCATAAAGGCCAATTCATTGATTTGTTATTTGTAAAGCTATCCTTCAATATATATTACTAATGAATATAATTTTAAGGGGAGCTCGACACGGCCAGGAGGCTTTCCTGCCCAGCGCTGTGTGTGCTGCCCTCCCTGTCCCCTCTCCTGACCTGGTCACGTGACAGCCCCAGATTTGCTCATGCCCCGCTGAGGCAAAGAGGCCTCCTCAGAGCAGCGGCTTCCACAAGCACAAATTTTACATATTTCTACAATCCTGAGACGCACTCTGATGAGAAAATTAGAGCAACAGATTCGCAAACCAGGCTTCTTTACACAAATCGAGGTGCCGAGGGGTTGCACAAAACTGTTTTTGCAAGGGAGCAGTCTAACAGTTTGCTAAAGGTGAAGGTTTTGTGTCTCCAGTAAATCGCCCTTGACTTCCTCCAGTCCTCCCTCTGTATACAGAAAACTACAAGAAATTTACATGGCTCAGATGCATAGTCATAAACACAAGGAATCTTCCTTAATAATCCCACTTACATGAGGTCTAAACATGCAGATAATATTTAACACCCGTGAGAGGCTCCTACCTTCTTCTGAATAAAACTGCAGGTGTCTGAGAGAAATCGTTTTACCTTTTGAGTAGCATTACTGAGTTATATTTAAATTCTGAGAGTCCTTTGCTAGGTAGCGTTTAGCATCCACTCAGGGCAGTCACATAGAGAAACTGCTGGGCAGAAAAATTGTAAAATTTAGCAGCTTGATTTTCTGTTAGCCTATAAAATGTTACTGTCCTATAAAAATAACTTTAACTATTTAATATTTCTTTTTTATTTACATTATATGAAAAAGTTAAATCATAGAGAGAATGAATAAGCATACACTCGCCTAAACAAGGAATAAACACCCACCTCTCAATACCCGTCTTCCTATTTTTATGTACACTAGAAAGCCCACATGGTGCCTGTGTCTGGGGACAAAGTCGACAGTGTCATCCTAAACCTTCCTGGAACTAACAGACATGGTCAATGCCATCAACCTTGCAGGTCATTAGTAGGAACAAATGAAATACTACAGCTGTCATCTAAGAGTTTACACTAAAATCTTCAGGGCTTTCAAGGCAATCTGAGTCCAGCTTCAGAAGAAAAAGTTCTCATATAGCAGCTCCAATCTTAAATAAAGCTCTGTTTTCCTATATTTGTATGACCGTTGAGACCCCCACAGGGACCAATATTTGTATTCAGATTGCATTTCATGGTTTCTCATCATTTCAGGATTTCTAATCAATGGGATTTAGTATAATAACCTAAGGATGACATAGCTGGTATACTTTCATGAATGTTTTTAATGTAGGTTTTTCTCCCATGAACACGAGCAAATAAATCTGTTTTTGAACTGATTTTAGTTGCATTTAAAGGTCTATAATAATCCTGATAAATTTATAAATGTAGAGTCATATATGGAAAGTACAGAGCAATTGGAAGTCCATGAAACCATAACTCTATTCATATATTATTGAGATGAAATATTGTAAATAAAAGTAGATTCTTGGATCAAAAGCATATCTGGAAATTTTCAGATGCTTTAATATTAAAGGTGACAATGTATGCATGCACATTTTAAAGTTAGACCAGATATGCAAATTATATAAATCCAAAGAGATTATGAAGTTAATTCAAATACTGCTGGTATAAATAGAACCCACACTTCTAAATTAAAGATACCTAAGTGGTCTAGGGTAAGAGGAATGTATTATTTACAGAGGGGACAGTCTCCAAAATAGCAACTCTAGCACTTCAGATAAAAGTGGGGGTTAGCTCATTGGAGGAAGCCCATACTTGAACAATTATTACCTATATTATAAGAATTTTATTAGAAATTAAAATGAGAAAAATTTTCTATTGAAGCAAGTATATAACTTTCAGTTATTGTCGTAGAACTCTGCCTTTATAATATTAAGTGTAGTATGATTTCTTAACTTTTGAATACTTACTAGTACAGGATTTGGTGCTGATCAAAATCTCTGGAGTGACTGTTAGCTGATTAAAATATATACCAATTGCACACAACTTTTCCATTCTTGAAAAAAAATCTTAACAGAGTATTGCTGAACATAATATTTGTCTTCTGATCTCACCCTCAACATCAGAATCCCTATATTTTTGGACTCCTAGCTGAAGAAAGAGTCTTTTACCATTCTGATTTTGCTGTTTTGCCAACAAATGTCTGTAGTCCTACTTCATTGTCCAAAGTTTCTCACTAAGAATGTCTGAAAAAGAAAAGTTATCCTGGTCCGATTCATAACAGAAAGTTGGTATTATGGCAGCTCATGCAGAATTTGGCTTTTAGACTTTGATTATAGGAATATCAGAAGAATGAAATGGAAGGCTGGTTTCAAAATCTTGTTTTCACCATTTTGTCTATAATGAACTCTTGTGACTGTAGAAAGAATAAAGCATATCTAGGAATTTCACTGAGACAGCTACATTTTAAAATCCAAACTGAAAGAAGCAATTCATAGAGAAACAGGCCAGGAGTGAAAACAAATTATCACATTCACACTGGAGGCCATCTTTGAGTGATCGTTGCCATGTTTTATCACAGTAATTTTTAGCCAACTATGGTATTTGTAATTTTAAACTTTCTTTCATAGAAAGGGGGCCGGTACCTGTTAAAAAGTGTTATTTTTTGCGATAATATAGTTGCTTATTATTTTGGCAATAGATGTAGACTCCAAGGAGATTCCAGCTTGGTTGCTGGCAGCCAAACTGGGTTTTTGTTTTATTTCAGGACTCCTGGGGACACAGTGGTGTCATGGAGTAGCTGGCCACTGGAGAGGACAGGATTAACGGGGAATCAATGATCTGTTTTAGTTGAGGACAGGTCAGAAAAGGTCAGTGGGCAGCTGACAAGAGTTTTGCTGAGAAGTTAACTTTGTCCGCAGCTCACCACTCCCAGAGCAGTAATGATGTGTGAGAGAAGAAATGAATCAGACAACATTCAACCACCCTATTAGAACACAAATCTCTATACAAAGGCCATTAATACCTACTAAGTGCAAATTTGAGAGGAACCAATCTGTATTACAAAATGTTTTCATTTTCTGTAAGATAACAATGAAATGGTAAACATTAAAATTGATTTTATGTCACTGCAGTATCTTCTGATTTTTCTGAGTTGTAGAATCAGCTACTTTGTGTCAAACTCTGTCATTGCTTTATTTCAAGAAAACACATTTAGCTTATACTTGTTCTGTTATATTTGAGTTGAAAATGTAAATGCATTAGTTGTTTCCTTGTAGTCTTGAAAAGTTAAAAAAGGATATAGCCACGGTATCAAAATCAGTTGACTTTTCTTTATATAATTCAAATCACTGGTTTGCTGACCAGCTGAGCAATCCCAGAAATCTGTGGTGGACAGATTCAAAGAATATAGTTGAGATACTTTATGGCATCGATTATGAGTAGTGAATTAAAAGTTTTTATTTCCATACTCCAATCCTTTTCTTCACCACTTTCTACTCCACTCACTAATAAGAAGCATATTTCTAGTCCCAACCTAGAATTTTCAGCATTAAAAGTAGTTGTGAATGTTCCTGGTACGTATACAGAAAACAGATTTTAGGAGGCACGGTGCTATTGTTGATGCAATACTTGAATGAAAGCACGCAGATTTTGAGCCACTGACATTTAAACAAAAAAGTATAGCACCTTTTGGAATATACTGGTGAAGAAAAGAATGCTACCACCTCACATCATCTGTGGTGTTTAAGTTTTGCAAAGGTGAAGGGCATTGTGTTTACTGTGGCAGCATTATACAGCCAGGCCACATAGAGAACCTGCTTGACAGGAGTGCTGGAGGGTCTTCTGGAGTTGCTTGGTGATGTGTTCAGATGTGAGACCCTCAGTTCCCCGTCAAGTGGCAAAGCGTACTACTATTCTTGAGCAGAACGATGTGCCTCTCAATGGACAGATACATAAGGAAAGAAAGAGGAAGGGGTTAGTGGGGCGCTTGGGGGAGACAATGAACTGAGAAGAAATTGACAGGCTGTTTCCTTTCCTGCTTCAGTTTCTTGGGCCCCGCAACAGGGTTACATGAAGCTCAGCTGTCTCTGCTGTTGAGTAGATGAGATCTTTGGGAACCTAACATGTTAGATTCTCAGGGAGAAAATTCCCTGCACACATTTATTTTTTTCCCACTAACAAGCAAACAAATTTGTTGATTTTTGTTGTCTTCCTTTTAAGCCAGTAAAGCTGTTACCTTCATAGTCACTCATCACAGGTCATCGAAAATAGCCTGGGCCCGCCCAGGTGTAATTCCACGTCTTTTTTTTTAATGTTTGGTAGTAGAGATTGCACTCAGGACCTCATGCTTGCCAGGGAGGTGCTGTGCTGCTGAGCTACATCCTGGCCCAGTTCCATGTCTCTTACGAAAATCAAGCCATTTCTCTCTCAGGATTTCTGTGTCCGGCATCTGAGGCTGAAGCCATCCAGTGTAGCTTGGGCTTTCAGATTTGGTTTTTTCACTCAGCTGATGTCTGTCTGCAACCTATGCTCTGTTTATTCAGGAAAAATCCCCAAGGTTGAAAGAAAGTGCATACTGGCCACGACCTAGTAATGAAACCCTGGGCTCTAACAGTGTGATGTTCAAGTTTCTAGCAGTAATGGATCCCAGTACTTTTCTTTCTAGGAAGCAATCTATTCCCCAGACATTCATCCTGCTTGAAATATCTGTAGTTTCTTTTCTTATTTTTTTATATTTTTTTTAAAATGCTTCTTCTTTTGGCTTTGATCAGTGTGGAATTCTTCTTGCCGAGCATCATACATATGCAAGGAGGAAAGAAAGATGAAAAGCAAGTCACTTCACAATTTTAGAGACTGAAAAAACTTGCAGATGCTGAGAATCATGCATGTGGCTAAAAGCAGAGCTGCACAACCGCTCATTTCTTATTCTGATAAATAAACATATTTGCGCATAACCCTTACTGTGAGCCCGGAGAAAGAGAAAGAGAAATGGGGTCCCTTGTGAGTCTCACTGTGCTTGAGTTCTGCCGAGCTGAACATTATTGCTGCATGGAAGATGCTTGCTCCTGTGATGACAGCCAGATTTCAGGCAGCTAAAAATAAATTCTCTTCTAATAAAATGAATGTCTTTAAAAAGCCGTTCTTTCAATTCAATGTCCATAAAAATTCAGTCATGTGCTACAGCACTCGTACTTGTTTATCAGAAGCACCCAGGGAGCTTTAGAAAAACACCCAGGCCTGTTCTCCTCCACAATTACAGTCAAGGAAGCAAGTAGACCCCGGAGTTGGAGGAGCACCTCAGCGTACACAGACCAGCTGGCCTGCATTCCCATGGGCAGCTGAGGTGAGAGTGACTGCTCTGAACAACTCAGGAGAGGAACAAGTGCCCTTCCATTCACAGATCCTCGGGCTGAGGTTTACAGCTCTCAGTGTAAAATTATTTTTCAAAGATGAGTCATTTGTTTGCTTTTGATTGCACTTTGAATATTAGTGAATCATGAATATAAATCTTTTAATTTACTTTCTCCTGGTGATGAGATGGTTCTCTCTCGTTATTTTAGCAAATATGTATGTAGTAAACTACTTATCTGATATTGTCCCTCAAATTTTTATTTAAACTATGTATTATTCTGACATCAAATTCCTTACTTAAAGTCCTGAAATATAAAGGATACAATGATAATTGTATAAAGTGCCTTGGGTATAAATATTCAAACACCATATTATAGCTAAGGGCTCTTGACAGTTCTATAATATCTCAGAAGCAAAGATCTGTGTCCATCATGAGCTTCATGATGTAAACATAGGACCTCTGAAAAATAGAAAGGCAACCGACCTTGGCAAGAAAAAAGAAGAAAATGAGAAAAAATGTAAATGAAAGAGATGTTGGAGGAGAACGAATTCCATCTTGGGCCTCAGTAAAGATTTATGGTTCTGTTTCCCAAGTTCCAGAAACCACTGCCTATTTTTTAAGTAATACATGTTCAAAAAAAAGAGATAAATATTGTGGCTTTATCAAAGCATGTTTATTTTTGGCCCTGTGCACTGAAAGCATGCCTTCCTTGTAACCTAGCAGTGAAGGTGGTAGAGCTGGGCAGTGTCAGCGTGACCTGCAGCTCTAAGAGTGACCCCAACACAGGGACAGGAAGACCACAGCACATTTCCACCTCTGCTGCATCCTGTTCTGTACAAATCATTTAACATGTTTTGGCCTTGGTTTCTACATCTGAACTTGGAAATATTAATATTATGACCTCATTAGTGCCTGCCTCCTAGGGCTATAAAATTTGGATGAGTTAGTCCATTTTGGTAGTAGCTAACACAGTATGCCACATGGTGCTAGGTACTTCACACGGACAACATAGCTCTTTTCGGTGCCACATGGTATATATATATATATATATATATATATATTGCTTTTTAATTTGAGGAGATGGAGGCCCACAGAGGCTAAAGGACTTGCCCACAGCCTTGCACCACAGCCTTGCCAGCCTGTTCAGTAGCAGTTAAAAGTTTAAGTCAAGCAGGAGATTCAAGGAGGTGCCAGTTTCACCCATGCACCAAAATGAACTTCATGGAAACCCCAACACTGAAACATGCACCCCAGTTTTCTGATCTGAACAAAGCAGGTCATAATACTAACATCACAAAACTTGTATTCCTGGCAATTACATGAGATTACTCAATAATATACAGTTCATTATCACCTCTTGTTTTCTTGACATGCTTTCATTTTGACTTCTTGAAACTTTGATATCATTCAAATTTTTATTTGCATATTCCTTCAGTCAGCAAACTAAAGAAAAAGTTGCCAAAAGCATTGACTATTTAATGTTTCGTTCATATTCTTCCATCTTCACCTCAAATCCCAGCCCAGGGCCATGTCATAGCTTGAAAATTAATCATTGTTTCTTATCCAGTATTAATACATATTTTAGTTAAATTTTTTTTAATTTAGAAAGTCACCAAAGGAAAATGAAAATCATTTATCATACATACATCCAAGAAAAAGACCCTGTCAAAATATTTATAGTATCATATCTGCCATTATTTATTTTAATAAAAATTAAATGATCACTGTAGATTTTAAACACTTGCTAAATTCATTAAGCAAGTCTGCAAAATCGATAGACTATCAACCATTAGGAAAATGCTAATGATGTCCCTCATTGCCCTGCGATTATGCTGTAGCTCTTTGAATCTGGTGCAGCTCACTGTGACACAGGTGAAAGAAATGAGCAGTGCAGAAACTAGGCTGAAATCTTAGCTTCTCCCCTAAGAGACCCAGCCCAAAGATTCCCTAAGCCACCTCCCAGGGCCCCAGTTTTGCAGCTGTGACAGAGCACAGAGCTCTGACCCAGAGCTTGGCATGGGCAGCAGGACACCAAGCCCTGTCCTACCCTAGCTTCAGACCACAGGAGGAGCGGCAGAGCCTCCCCCGGGACATTTCCTGAGCAAAAGTTCCATTGCATATGTCTTCCATGAAAAGAACAATTCTAAAGGAAAGGGTGATAACCAGCTATCCAATTTGATTTAAAAGATGAATATTAATTAGAAAGGCACAGTAATAATAAAAGAACACTTAGGTGTCACCAAAAGAGCAGGAAAAGTACTGGAATATGAACCATTCATTGCGAACTGGCTCCACTGGCAGGGTTTCCGGAGAAGGCTCCAGCCTCAGGGCTCTGACAGCTGGCGAGGGTGGTGACTTAAATCTAAAATGCTTCTCAAAGGTGTGTGCTCAGCGGTGGCCCCGGCACTGGGAGCCAGAAAGTCACATTCTTGTCTCCTCTCTGCTTCCTGGCTACCGTGGGCAAGCAGCTTTCCTCCGCTGTGCCTGGCCTCCCAGCTTCCTGTACAGTATATTCCGCTTCCCCCTGCTAAGCTCTTCCCTGATCATATTGCTACAGGGGAACGAAGCTGCTGGTCTACCAGATGTCCAGTAGGAGTTCGTGTTCTCTAAAATCGAAGCATGAATTTTAAGAACAACGGTGGTTAAAAGCGGAATATATTTATTGAGAGATAGAAGGGCTTCTGAGTGGGTTGCCAACGACTCTTATGTTTTCTAGGAACATTTATAGGGTAAAATCACGAGGTGAGAGGGGTTCAAGGTGGGGAAAATGGGAACTGGCA